TTTTCCTGCAGATGCTGGGCCTTGTATTAGACTCACTGATGTAGGCAAGATGCTCATTACTTCTTCACATGGCCTTCAGAGTAATGTTCTTGCCCTTACTCTCTACCCCACTCCTGGGGCAAACGATGCTGCCAAACCGGATTAGGAATACCTGAAAGGAGGTGCTTGATAAAATCCAACTCTTCTTCCATTTGAGTAGGAAGAGAAAGCACACACTATCAAAGAGACATGAAAAGAGCCAATTTCTATATTGCTTCCTGTTGAAGTGTTCAGACACTATATAATACATACCATTTTAGACAAAAGGGTTATTGAACAGAAGAGTCAGTGAGAAAGACCTGTTTTGAGACTGTTACTCGATACCTCTTTAATGGAAAATATTTAGTGTCTGTTTACTGGAAGTGATGCGTCTCAGTATTGTGGTTCAGTTGGAACATAGTCATTAAAACATGCTTGAGTGTTCCATATGCTTATGGTTAATAAGCATTAGACTTTGGTTTGTTCTGTTTTCTGTCTTGTAATGTCCAGTCCTGCCTGTGTTGTATGTGAGAGGCAGGGGGTTAGAATGCTTTGGAAGCAATTTGTATCAGAGTCACATTGACTTAAGGAGTTAGTGTGGGTCAGTAAATATCCTGGAGCATGTTTATTTCATTCTGTGTTCAAGTATGGCAATATTTACAGCTTGACTCAAAATGGATCCTAATTAGAAAAGGATGGTCATCTCTTGAACATGGATTGTTTTCTCATGTTTTTACAAATTGAACATATACACATAACTTCACTCTGTAGATATAATACATACAGTCACATCTCTCCAGCATTATTAGGGAATTAAGTCCTCCCCAATAGGCATTTTCTAGATAACTGAAACTTATTCCCTTTTAAGATTGAAAACCTGTTTATTGTAATCATTTAAATGAAAATATTTTTTTGAAATGGAAAACACAGTTCTCTAAATGGTGACTCTCAATATAAATTAACCATTTTGATAACTCAGAATAAGGGTTAAAAACCACCTTTCTTGTAGTGATTGAAAACTGGCCTTCAGTAGACGGTTTCCTTTAGGTGATTCTGGGCAGCAGTGTCTTTGGATTTCTGATTTTTGGAATAGTTCTTGTATCTTCCCTTGCTTTTGTTCTGCTGGTATAACTTCTTGCCTCTGTGAGTAAGTTTACTTCTATGATGTCTCTCTTTTTAAGAATTTATTTTTAATTGGGAGACAATTGCTTTGCACGCGGTGCTGATTTCTGCCGAACAACAATGTGAAGCAGCCACAGGGACACGTGGACCCCCTCCGTCCTGAGCCTCCCTCCCCTCCTGCCCCTCTAAGTCGTCTCAGCACCGGCTGAGTTCCCTGCAGCAGCTCCCCATCAGCCACCTGTCCTAACACGGCAGTGCGTATGTTCCAGTGCTGCTCTCTCTGTCCACCCCGCCCTCTCCTCCTCGTTCCGCCATGTCCGCGGGTCTGGGTCTCTAGTCCTGCCCTGTGTGGTGTCTCTTTAGATCAGCCAGTCCTACTTAACTTTAGACTGAAGCCAGATACACTGGTCTTAGTGAACTCCTAAGTAAACCAAAGGCTTCACAGTCTGAGTGAGGTTTCCTTAGAAATAAAACATTTACACTTCAGCATATGGACTTAGTGAGTTCTCTTTTGGCTATTCTAGGAAACTTTTGTGCTTGTTTTAGTGTTTTTCTCAAGTGTTCCAGAGAGGAGACGTTACAAGATGTCTGAATTCTAGGTAATTGAGATGCTGCTATAATCTTGGAGAAGAGGAATCCATTACTTGAATTTAGTTTGTGTGTCCATTTGCTCCAACCATGACTGATGCAAGTCTTCCTGATCAGTCCAACCCACGCTAATCCCTCTCCTGATTCCCTGAGGGCTTTGCTTTGATTTCTACCACACAGCTAGTAATTTATTACACACAATAGACCCCTGGAATTCACAGGAGATACAGTCTAAAGCTTTTGCAAATCTCTAGAATTGCAAATATTATTATAACATAATAATATCCCTCACACAATGCAATAAAATATGGTAGAAAATTTAAGTGTTCCTTTAGACCCTTAACGACTCTATAAATACAGGACTTAAGTTACTTATAGAGCTGGTTGCCTTTCATTACAGGGCCATTTCTTACAAAGAAATAAAATTTTATTATTGCACCAACATTACTGCGTGGGACCTGACGGAGGAAAGCAGAGCCCAGATCTGAGGGGCGCGGGGGGCAGATGCTGTGGGTTATACTGGGCTCTGACATCCTGCAAAACAATCCCCTGGATATACCATGCTCTTACCTTGAATGATTCAAGTTTGCGTGTGCAACAATGACAATAGATCGGGGACCAAGGACTGCAACCTGATGCCTCCAGGACCAGGCACAGCGATGAAGAGGGCCGGGTTCACCAACACACTCTGAGGGTGGTTCCATTTCTGTCTATTCCAAACACAGCTTTTCACATGCTGATGGTGGTGATAGCTTTGAAGGGCTCACTCAGACCCCTTCTCTTTTCTTTCTCACTTCTAGGGGCTGAAACTTGATTACCCAGTTTCCTTGCTATTAGGAATAGACATGTGACAGAATCCTGGCAAGAAGGTGCAGGCAGAGGGCCTGGGGAAGGTTGCCTCATATCTCTCTTCCTTCTCATTCCCTGACAAATGCAAAGTGCTTTTCAACCATGGACATGAAAACTGCACAAAAGATGGAAAACAAAAACAGGAGCCTGTGTCTCTGACAGCTTTGTGGAGCTGCTAGCCCTCATACTTCAGCCAATGTGTTTGAGTATTCTGTTACTTGAAGCTGGATATATTCTTGACCAGATCATAGTTCTCATCATTATGGAACATTAAACTGTTATTTCACTCAGACACACTTTCTCCTGTTAAACACATTGTCATAGTTTTCCTCTCCATTAGAGATATACCTCTAACACACTTTTTGGAAAAAAATAAATAAAAATAAAAAAATGCAGCCCTCTCAGTCTACTTCTCTTGCCTTTTGAAAGGAAAAATACTAAAATTTTTTAAAAGTGAAAAGATGATAAGTGTTGGATGAACTCTGACTTATTGCTGGAAGAAAAAGTAGGAAATGATGAGTACTGTAGAAAAATAAAGGACTCACACCCCATCCAAAGAGATCTTGGAATGGGAATATGGATTCAGCATTGCCTGTTTTCCAAAAAGAGAAACTTGTTTGACTTTTTAAAGAGAAGCTGGAAATATATTTGTGATATGTTCTATTTTTATAAATTTCTTGGCAGCTAATTTCTAAATTTTTAAACACTCTCTGAGCCAACAATATGTAGGATAAGCTCTACGTGTCTGCCTGGACAATTTGTCTGATTCCTCTTCTATCAGGAGGAAGCTCATTAAAATTGCACATTGGAGAACACCAAGGATCTATCACACTAACTTAACGTGGTTTATTGTGCCATCTGCAAAATCTTATCTCTCCAACTCAATTGCTGGCTATCTGCAAAGAAAGGAACAGGCTATATATTTTTTTCTTGTTTAAGGATACCTGATCTGTGGCTTCTGGTGGATCTTTGCGATATTTTCAAAGAAACATGATATCCTGTGGCCCTGCATTGTCTTACACCTGTAGGGCGTTCACAGAGGGCACAGCACTATGAGAGACAGAAGAGTGTGTGCGAGACACACGAAGGGAATAGGAACTGGCAAACCCCTGGAATCTAAAGGAAGGGCCCATGCTCGTGTGGCCTAGTAACCCAGGAGCAATAGCAACCACACACGATCAGCTCTGGAAAGGGAGTGTTACACAACCGCACAGGAGATATGTTGTTACTCGGGGAAACCTTCATGCAGGGTTTGGATCTTAAACCAGATCTTGAATAGAAGGAGGATCTGTCACTCTGGGTGAACAACTACTCAGAGTCAAAACACAGAGGTTATTGAAAAATGAGAAGCCTTTCTCCTAAAAGAATCTGAAACCGAATGTCTTTTCTCAGACAAAGTGAAAAACCGTCTCTGCAAGAATTGTTGATTTATATACACTTAGCACATTTAATGACAGGTTAGGTGAAAATGGGAACCATGAATGCTGAAAATACGCCAGATATGTTTGTTAAACATTCAAGTGATTTCTATGATAATGAAGGCATGCTCGTCCAGCTGTGAACATTTCAAGTAAGATGAATTACCAAGTACACTGGTCCATTTAACAGCGTTGGGTTATTATCAGGGCTGGGAAGTTAAATCTAATGCTATACATTGAATGTCCAGCCAAGCACCCAAAGAATGTGGAACGAAAGCTAAGGGAGCCTTGCAACTCTAGAAAAATCCCCAAACTTGAACAACATGTGCTTGCTTGATGCCTCAAGTTTCAGCAGGCTGGCAGCCAAATATTCTGAATTCATTTCATACCTGTGATGGCTTCCAAAACTAATAGTTCTTGCTTTTGTTTGGTATACAGTAGTCATGGATGATATGATGACAAGAACAGAAAGATGGGGTGGAGTCAGAGGTGGACAGGGCAGGTGTTGGAAGATCAGTGAACCTCAGCAGGGGGAAAGATGAATCAGAAGAGGTTTGTGAGGTTCTGGTAGGTGCGGAGTTCTGAGCTGGAAGCTGAGATCGAGGCCCAAAGCGATCTGTATTTGTCTGTGATGAGGCTGCAACACAGTTACTTTAAAAAGAAAGGAGATTGACTATGGAAGCAGACACCTACTTCAAGTTCTACCTTTCTCATGTCATATATCAGCGGGATGACCTTGGGCATGTTACTTTATGTCTTTTGAACCTGACCTCTGTGTCCTCATAAGTGGAATGGGGCTAGTACATCGTATCTTAGAGGGGTTGTTTGCCAGGGTTCAAGTAGACAAAGCAGGCAGCGGGCTTAGTTGCCTGATACAGAAACTCCATGCATTAAAAGCTGGCTCGTATCTTTGTGACTGTTACAATTAATTCGTATTATACAAAAAAAAAAAAAATGAATTAAAGCTGATTCCGATAAAATGGCCTTATTATTTAAGCAGATAGAGAGAAATCACATTTGGCCCAGATGGTTCCCTAGATTGTGTCATGAAGGCATTTCTGATGAAGACTCCATCTGGTGGATGTGAAGCCGGCAGTGATGTGGTTGGGTATTTTTGGAGCCCAGCACAGGGTTTGCCCTGCAGTAAACTGTGTGAATGGATGGTGTCCCTGGGAATTTAGAAGGGAACTGATTAGGAGGGATGTCACTGGGTGCCCCAAACCCCTGAGTCCTAGAAGCTTATAGCTGAGTGTGATTATAAAGCTCGTGCAGCCTAAACACCTTACTTAACAGAGGATATCTGCTCCCCTTCACTCACACTCCAACACCCACAGCAGAGATTGCTGGCAGGGGCGGCAGCCTGGGGAAGTGGTCAGCTTGTGTTGTCAACTTTCAGAACAGTTCTTCCTCTGCTAGAACTCCACCCCGACCTTCACCATCAGCATTCTCCCTGCCGCTACCTTCTTCACTGCAGCCCAGGTTCCCCCTGAGGATAGAGCAGAGGACATGGGAGAGGGTGGGCTTCTTGCAGAGGCTGGGTGGTTCCCCCAGGGTAATGTGGCAGCCCACTTAGTCTGGGATGGTTTTAATAAAATTCTGGTGAGAGGTACAGGGATGAACCATGATGATTTTCCTAGGATGCTGCTGATAATACTGAGACCCAGGATTTACAAACAACAAAGTAGACCTCCTTTAAGAGGGTCGGGAGAACGGGAATCCTGACCTTTCCCTTGGAATTGAGTGTATGCCTATGGAGCCACTCTGTGCTTTTTGGAAAATGATTCAGGCAGAAGATTTAACTAACTTTAGGTCATCTGGGTAACTCACTGACTCAACTGGCTTTGAAAGTGTAGAGACACCAGAGCTGCTGTGGATAGAGCAGAAATGAAAGCAAATTTTTCTCAGTGTGATGAAATGTGATTGAATGATCACTCTAATTTTTAGTAAACTCCAGAATATTAACGGTCTGGGAGTGCAGCTACTATTTCAAGATAGCACGTCACCCAAGTAGGAATCAAGAAGCACCATAGTGATGGCAAATGAAGGCCACTGCATTTGTCCAGAAATAACAAAAACAACAGTGATAATATAAGCACACCTAACATGGTTCAAAGTGGAGCAATTCCTGTCATGACCACTATCAAGTCTCCTTTAGATAACCAGCTGGAAAATTACTGATGACAGAAAGTCTATTCTCAAAAACCCCACACCCTGCAGAAGCACAGTCAGCCCAGATATGACTGTGGATCAAAGTAGGAACCCATGTCTTCTTTCCTGTGTCTTGCCCTTGGAAAGCGGAAGCTGGTCAGTCCTGCCCAACCCTTTGTGACCTCATGGACTATACAGTCCATAGAATTCTCCAGGCCAGAATATTGAGTGGGTAGGCATTCCCTTCTCCAGGGAATCTTCTGGACCCAGGTCTCCTGCATTGCAAACAGATTCTTTACCAGCTGAGCTACCAGGGAAGCCCAAGAATACTGCAGTGAGTAGCCAATCCCTTCTCCAGTGGATCTTCTGGACTTAGGAATTGAACTGGGGTTTCCTGCATTGCAAGCAGATTCTTTACCAGCTGAGTTACCAGGGAAGCCCTACCTTGCCCTTTAAAACTCAGTAAAAGACTCAAACCCTCATGCTTCGGGGTCAACACCACTCTATGCATCTGGCCCCTTCCCTCCCTTGGAAAGTGAATGAAAACTCTCATTTCTTCGCTTGTTCATACTTCTGTGAATTCTTTCACAATATATGTGGGTTCACCTAGCATATAATAATGGCTTATAATCTCTGAGTTGGCCACTTGATGTGAAGAGCTGACTCATTGGAAAATATCTTGATGCTTGGAAAGATTGAGGGCGGGAGGAGAAGTGGGTGACAGAGGATGAGATGGTTGGATGGTATCACCAACTCAATGGACATGAGTTTGAGCAAGATCTGGGAGATGGTGAAGGACAGGGAAACCTGGCATGCTGCAGTCCATGGGTTGCAAACAGTTAGACATGACTGAGTGACTAAACAAAAATCTCTGAGAGCTAGGTATTCTAAAATTTCTGTGTATTAACTCACTGAATCCTTATACAACCTTCAAGGTATGGTTCTGTTGTGCTCTCCATTTTGTGAATGTGGAGACTGAGACTCAGAGAAATGGAAAAACTGACTTAACGTAGCTAACACCCAGTGAAGCTAGTCCGAGATGTTGCCAGCACCCTTGCAATGGTCACACCTGGGGTTTGTCAGTTTCCTACCCACTTTCTAAACCATGTGGGTTTTCACTTGGCTTTCATCCTGCTCCACATACATCCCATTTGTTAGGTTGACCCATAGGAAATCAGTTTCTGCATGTCAAAATGATGAATTGATGACTAGCAATTAGTTTCAGATTATTCAACCTAATAGTCCACGGTCCAGGGGTCATTTTTAGTTAAATTAATTAAGACAATAACCACATCCCATTTTCTGCTCATTGTCAGCTATTCAGAATGAAGGCATGTGACCAAAGTGACCCAGTCAAGATGAATCCTAAGACTCTTGCCTGGAAAGTTAGGATGGAGGTGATCATGTACAAACATAAGGTCCAAAACTTCTGTAGCTCTATTGATAAGAGTTTAAAAATTAAAACAATTCATGTGGTACCTGTGCCTATCTGTAGCCAAGAGAACCCAATGTGTAAAGCCAAGATGTTATAGAAACCACACCTGATTCCTGATCTCCATACATTTTCACTTAGATCAGCGAATCAAGCTTTTTTTTAGTGTAAGGCAACTGAGTTGAGTTCTTATTCCCAATCACAGTTCAGTCATTCTTAAGTGGAGAGAAGATAAGACAGGATAACCACTTTGCAACTGGCGTGAGTGGCAGAGAAGTCAGAAATGTTTATGACCCTTTATACCTGAGTCCTCTGACTCTTCAGCCAGTAAGCCTTGTAATGCTGAGACAAGACTGTTTCCATTTCACAACTTGCTTTTCCTTTTTACCTGCAATCTTCTGAACTCCATCTCTAAAGCTGTTCTCTAAAGGAACAATTGCATGACAAAGACACAGTGAGATGAAGTCCCTTCTAAAGTGAGGTAGAGGTGGCTTAGGTAGAAGAACTGGAAGGTTATGGAAGACAGTGGGCAGTGTGAAGTTTTATATCCACTGGGAGCTTTATTCAGGAAAAGTAGGAAGTGAGGAGTCGAAGGCAGTGTCCTGGGTCCTATGTTATGAATTTACCCTGATATTTATAGTAAGTCATTTCCATGTAATATTTTTCCATTTGGAATAAGCAGCCATCCCTATTTTCTTCCACTCCATGGGGCTGTGATGAAGATTAAGGACAGCATCAGTGCTCTGGTGCCCCATGAAATGTCGGCACTGTTGGTGGCCTACCCAATATCCACCCCATGACCTATTTCTTCCTAGTAGAATCCTAGTGTGGTACAGAAATCCATGGGTTAGAGTGTTTCACAGTACAATGTGCAGCCTGGGTAGGGATTTTATTTGAGCTAAAGGAAGCCAGGTCCAATTTCTGAGATGGAAACAACTGTCCCAACTTCTTAGGAGCGTTACTTTTCTGATAGTTGATGACTGCTCTCTCTCTAGGAACATAGATATTATATATTTCAGTGATGATGTGAGTATGTTCTCTGATCAGAAGTGATTTCATTACAGGCCCAAGAAGCTTTGAATAGAAAGGAGAGCCTTTCAATGTTATTCCATTGAAAGAGTGGTAGAAACCACATGCCATTCAAAATGGGACCCAGTCCTAGAGAGAGATTTATTTCTGGTCATGTGTGGTGATGGCAAACTGAGAAAAACAACAACAACAACAACACAAAGCTCTTGGAATTTATTGACTTAAATTTATTTACAAAAAGCAAGGGTCCTGCAGGCTGAGGGTTTAAGTTGAAGAACAAAAGGGCTGAGCTGCTAGTTTTCATTCTTCTTTGCCTATGGGGCCCCTACCGTACCCAAGACACTTTTGTTTCTTGTGCGGCAGGCAGAGCAGAATTTCAGTTACTGAACTGATGACTTTCCTGTCTGCTCACTCACGAGGATAGCAGTGAGGCTGAGGACAGTGTCACCACTCTGGAGGGAGCAAAGACGTGATCGGGGAATGAGTGACGTGAGACGGGTCAAGGCTGCTCTGCAGAGCATGTTGCAAATGCTGGCCATGGTGCCTGGTGGTCAAGGCAGTTGGCACTGGAGAAGGCTCTAGACCGCTGAGTGGCATGGGAAAAGTGAGGCAGGGGTCTTTCTGGCGAGGTAGGATGGCCTGGGTGACTACAAAGGGAAGGGGAATATGTATGTTCAGGATCCTCCTTGGGAAAGCAGACCCCTTCTGGCAGCACATGTGAAAGTTTTTTTTTTTTTTTAATATTTCTACTTTTTTTGAATTGGAGGACAATTGCTTTACAATGTTTTGGAGGTCTCTGCCATACATAAACATAGATCAATCATAATTAAATACACACACACACACACACACACACACAGACACCTCCCCTCTGTTGAGCCTTCCCTCTTCCTATTTTATGGAAGCTTTTGTAGGCAGTCATTCAGAAATGAACTTGAAGCCTTTAAAGGTAAAGAAGAAATTCTGCTTGCTATCTAAGATGTGTGGAATTGAACCTGGGAAACCACATCAAATTGGCTTTGGAGATAGTGGGGAGTGATTAGAAGTCTCAGAAATCTGAAAGCATTGACTTACATCATCTCTTGAAATTTCTCCAGAATCAGGAACGCCATCACCACAAACACGGATGCGATGTGCCGGAGAACTAGGAAAAGGAGAAGAGAAGTGAAGGCCGCAGCTGTGTTGTGTGCGAGGCAGGCCAAGTGCAGCCACGTGTGTGAGCGCTCATCCCTTTGGCTGCATGATGAGGCCACACGGTGAGGGCACACACAGCAGTTGATCCTGGGACACTAACCAAGTGTTACTTGATTCCAGTCAAAAGGCTTATTTACGTACTCAGTGTGTGTTACTTGTGCGTCAGGGATGTTTATCTGTGATGTCAATACTTCTGAGAGAGCGCTGATAGGGAGACCTTAGTGCTTCACATACTGGGCTGGTCTGAATTTCTTTCGACCCGTCCTTGGGGCTGGACAGGCACCGGAAGAGGCTATGCAGCAAGCAAGGACCCTCGGCCATGGAAAGACTGAGGATGCCACCAGCCCAGAGTCCCTGGAAAGCCATCACAATGTCACCATCACATCAACGGCGGTGACAACTGGCTGCTCATTAGGGCTCACTTGGGGCTTGATATCACGCAAGAGGCGATAGACCTTGTCGTGTCTCATGCTCATGATTACCTTCTGAAGTCGATAGAAATATTTCTAGTGTATAGAGGAAGTAAAGGGAACCAAAATCACATAAATGATGTGATGCAGAGCCAGAGGACAGAGGCAGGTGCGTGTGGCCCCCAGCCAAGCCTGCACATTTCACCAAGCACCCTCAGACCTTGAAGCCTCTCTGATGGTAAGTCCTGTCTGAGTGCCACCCCTGTTTCTTGGCCCCACGTGACGTTTCACCCAGCTTAATACCCCAGCATGGGTCAGAAGGGAGGGGGTTTCCTGAAACTCATAAAAGGAGGTCTCACCACTGAATCCCAACCAAGTCCCTGTGGGCCTGTTTAGCTTCAAACATTCACTTCTTGCCCCAGAAATGAGGAGAGGGCAACCCCGCCTTTCCGGCCAGACTAGCATGCTGGCGGCCCACACATTGAGGTGTCAATCTCTCCAAACCGGGCCGAGTCCCTTTGAACCACCTCCAGCTCCAGCTTGGAAACCCCCCTCCAGGAATTCTTTCTTCTCAGCCAGTGGGTCAGTCACCTGGCCAACCAAGTGGCTCATGCAGACTCAGAGTTGCTGGGAAGATAAGGAAATATCACATTTCAGTTCTTCCTCCCTTTTTTCATTCTAGGATTGATTTCTCTTGAGTTTCAAGATGGGGGGGAATGCGTGGAGGTGGAGGTCACAAGGAAATTTATCGGACGGCTTCCCAGGGCAATTTGTGATGTTCAGCCCTAAATATTTTCAAGGGGGTGAGAGCGGCTATCCCACCCCTGCCTGCCTGCACACACGGGAGCCTGGGGAGGGAGCAGGGCTGTCAGCAGCGAGGGTGAGAAGCAGCCTAACTCTTACCTTTCCTGCTGGCCCAGGGGAGGGTGGATGGCTGCTGTTGCCAGTGTGATTTGTACTTAATCTCTGGGGACTCACCTGTGCTTTCTGTGCCTGGATCCATGGCAAGACTTTCCATTTTCCCCCATTTTCTAAGCAGCCAGCAACAAAGGAAAGACATTCTGAGAGCTC